TTCACAGTACCAATACTTGTTTAAAATATTAATAATATATTTTAATTTGAGTGTGTTTTTAAAAACCAATTTTTTTTGTACATTTCTAATGAATATAGAATACTCAACATCTTTAGTAGGAGAAGGACAGGAGGGGTATCTTATAAGAAAGCATGAATGGGAATCAACAACAAAAAAAGCTTCAAACAGATCATGGGATAAGGTAAGATATTATTTTAATGCGTACTGGTATGTAATATTACTGAAATGAACATAAATTTTGTATAAAATTTAATTGATATAGTTGTATATTGTTGCCCGAGCTGGTCGTATCTGTTTCTATAAGGATATAAAAAGTTTCAAAAGTAATCCTGAACTGACTTTCCGTGGTGAGCCAAGCTACGAATTACAAGGAGCACAAGTTGAGATTGCTAATGATTATACTAAGAAAAAACATGTTTTGAGAATCAAGTATGCTTTTAATATATTTGTTATTAATATACTTCACATTTGCAAATTTTAGATTGTCCAATGGAGCTGAATTTTTATTACAAGCTCATGATGATAATGAAATGGTTTTATGGGTAAATTCTGTAAAGGCTCAAAGTGAAACTGGAACTGTTGCAGAAAGCAGGTCGCAAACATTGCCAGCTATTTCACAAAAGGATGAACCAAAGCGAAGATCTTTTTTTACTTTAAAAAAAAAATAAGGCTATAATATTTATGCGATCATACATATAACAATGATAATTTCAAGTTTTTATGCTTTATGCACGATAAATATGCTATATTTAAAATAACTTATATTTATCTTTATTTAAAACGAAACTAAAGTATGCATTTTAATGTATTCAATAAAATAAAATATTACTTATAAAATATTCAAAATTTGTAATCAATTTTATTATAATCATATGTAAAGCATTCAAAGCACCAGACTTACACAAATTACACTTATTGTTAAATGCACAAATATACCTAACAAATTTTGCAAATTCCATTATAAGTCTATAAATTTGTGTGTTCAGAAAAGACTCGAATTTCTTGTCTTCTTCAGAACTATAATTTCGACAAAAGTTATTATACGATATATCAAGTTTTGTTGCTTCTTATCCGTCAGTATGGACTATGATTGCTTAGAATATCTCGCTTTATTAAAACAGCTGAATAGTACGTTTGTTGTGCACTTTGGACCAAGTAAATTGTAAGATCTGACATGATTTTTTCATTTATCTATATTTATTCTGTAATACTAAGATGTTTTTGTTTAATTGCCAGCTTACCGGTTGCACGTGGTATGCCAATATCTGAAAGCTGAAAAGAGAAATGAATATCAGAAGGGCGCCTAGTTATTGTACAGGTGTAGTTACTGCACAGGGTTATGTGATTGAAGTATTACCTATTCAAGCGATCATATCTTTTTTGTATAAAATTATTTTTTATTGATTCAAATACCAAAAATTTGTGGAAATTTCAGAATCCAATCACTCTAGCTCAATGTAGCCACCTCTTGCCTTGACTATGGCTTTCAAACAGTTAAAAAATGAGTTGCATGCTTCAAGAATGTGATCTTCCAGTATTTTGGTTCATTTCTGAAAAATTGTTTTCTTCAGCTCAACCATACTAGCACATTTTTAAGTCCTCACATTGGTCTCCAAAAAGACCCAGATGAAATGGACCATTGGATTTGCATCTGACGAATTCGAAAGCCATTGTGTGGATTAAATGAAGTGTGGAACACGATTTTTTTAACCATTTGTGGTTCACAAGACTTCCATTAATAACGCAATCACACTATTACGTTGGAATTTCATTTCAGATAACTTTTGTTCTATAAAACTAAGAAGTATATGCTTAGTTTCGTATGAATTTGTCGTAGCTGGCAATATCAGTTTTACACATATAACCGTGTGTAGTTGGTAACACCTCAATCGCCTACCAATGTAGATATCCTTGTGTCCAGGATGCCATATGAGTTGGATACTGACACGCTTTGCAAGCTCGTTAAGAGAAACACAGCATTTTCGTACTATTGAGAGTGTATTATATATATTGATTTGATAGTAGGTTAACTGTCCTAGAGGGTTATGGTATTTACATCGGGAACCATTTTACTTAGAAGTCATTTTGCTGCGTAGTGAATGAATCGCCATTTCTTTTGGTAGTTACTCTTACTAGATATAAGCAGAATACTAAGTCTAAATTTTGGTTAGAGCAGATGGTCAATTGAGATAGTCACCCTTATTCTGAATCACATGGGAATGGGAGTTTTTTCTCTTTTCACAGTTCCCCTATTCTGAATCACATGATAATGGGAGTTTTGGTCTCTATTCCCAATTCTCTTATGATGAATCAAATGGGAATAAGAGTTTTTTTCCCTATTTTGCACAAAATTTCTCCCAAGCAAATTATGTGGGAGATAATTTAAAAAAAATTTCATATTTAATTTAATATGTAAGTATCTTATAATGATCAGATTTTTTACATCAGTCCTATTCTGAATCGCATGGAAATGGGAGTCTGTTCCCTATTTCCAATTTTGCTATTCTGAATAATTTGGGAATGGGAGTTCTGAATTCTGAAATTCTGAATAATTTGCGAATGGGAGTTTTTTCCCAATTTTGCACAAATTCTTTCCCAAGCAAATTGTTTGGGAGACAAGTTAAAAAAGTATTAAAACTAGTTTAATTTAATATGAAAGTAACTGAAAATGATCAGATTTTTGAATATATTTTAATTAAATTATTATAATAAGTTCAAAATTTACTAATTTTTATTTTTTTACTTTTTCAACACGGGTTGATTAGTTTTAGAATTTGTTTTAATAAAATTATTATAAGTAAATTGGTATTACGACCGATATTCAACATATAAGTTTATAAAAAAGTGTTTTAAAATATATTAAAAATTACACTTTTTAATTTATTTAATTTTTACACAAAACTTGTTTTAATTACAAATATTTCGGTCTACTTCGTCCGACCATCTTCGTCTGAAGACCATCTTCAGTGTATATAAAGAAATTACATATTTAAATATATGTAAATAAACATATAAACATATATTCAAAACAAAAAACCAAAAATGACAAACATTGTTGTTTCTTTCAGTGTTTGACATTTTTAACATTTAAATTTATTTAAACAAAAGCAAAACATTAATTTGAAAAAAACAATAAAATTTAAATCAAAAAAACGAAAATATTTTTTAAATGAGTAACAATGGAGGATAAATTAAAAATTTTTTTAAATTATAAATATATATTAAAATTTTTTTATGGTTAATTAAAGACCTGTAAATTTGTGCAAGACCCTCTGTGCCTTTTTTGTAGTTTAGTCTCTGATTGTCCGGAACTGCAATGATATGTAATATTTCAAGCATTAACCTACGTCTATAATTAGGCTCTTTGTTAATGATCTGTACTTCTTCAAAATTTGGAGTATGGTTCATGCTAGAGGCTGCTAATGCTGTCATTTGGTCAAGAGGAGTTGTTCTGCTCTTTATGACGTGTCTGTGACCAGCGATTCTCGTCCTGAGTTTGTTTTTTCTTGAACGCTGATATTCATTACACGTCTGATCAAATTTAGAGCTGTGTTCCGAATTATTTGATAAGGGTGTTGCGAGTTGTAATTAATATATCGTCTAGTATTCGTGGGTTCTTGATACCAATTAATTTTAATTTTATTGTCTATGTAAATTATTAAGTGTATGTAATGTACTCTCTATGTTATCAATTTTTATAATAGCAAATATATCTTCTACGTATTTGGTAAGTAGTCTAGGTTTTTTAGCTAATTCGTCCATCATTTTGTCTAAGATATTCTCCATCACAATATCTGCTACAACAGGTGATATCGGAGACAATGGGTTCTTCGATATCCCTTTTGTTTGATTGTAAATTTTGTTCTTGAATATGAAGTAGCTATTTTCTTTAAGGAGGAAGCCTGAAATCTCCATAAATGTTTCTTTCTTTACATTGCATTCATTTTTGATAAGATGCCACTTACTATCACCTGAGCCTAGATAGCAACGACGCTGAGGGGACCAAGCCGGAATCGGAACACGAAATTTTTCTAAGTTTATTAATGTGTCAAAATTAATTGTATGAAATATGATTAAGATAGAAAATTCAATTATCTTTCATTTGGTATATACCCCATATCTGTATGTTGCGTAGTAGCTGAGATATTCAAAAAATAAAAAAATAAAATTTTTTGAAAAAACTGACTTTTTTACCTCAAAAATGATTAAAAAACAACCACAAGCGGGACCGATATGCACGGATACTCACCTGAAAGGCAATAAAACAAGCTTTCCAATAAAGCAAAAATCAAAAAATCGTATGCGCAGATATTGTGCAAAATCGCATTAAAGTTCGATATCGAAACTGCTTAAATATCATCCGAATCAAAAAACTAAAAATGCAAAATGTTCAAAAATACATCACAAAACACAATTTTAAAACCTCAATTAGATATTTTAATTTTATCATAAAAAATTGCTAAAAAATAGCATTTTTTATAACTTACTTTACTGTAATCATTATATCTTCGTGTGCAAAAACGAGACCGAAACAGAATTAATTTTTCCTTAAAGACAATAAAATTTCCTTTCCAAAAAACCTAATTCATAAAAATCGTATGCACGGTTTTTTCTCTATTATTTTTTAAAAATTGTCAATTTTTTACCAAAAATCCAATTATTTGAAAAAATCCTCCACCCTCACAGCGCCAAATGCGGAGCAAACTCAAGGTGTGGTTGCACTAACCACATTAATTTACTATACACTATCAGTTAAATAAAAACACGTTGTTATTCTTGTGCACACTTTAGCTAGACTCTTTTTGTCTCTTCTTTATTGTTATTATTCTTATTATTAACTCTACACACTTTTTACCAAAAAACTACTTTTTGTAGTTTTCACCGCATTTGGCGCTTGGCACGCTTTTTGTGCTGCCACAATCACTCCCCCCCGCAGGAGATATTTTTCCATGGCTTGAAAAAAGTACCTTCTTCTTCGAGTATGTATTTGGGGGTTTATCCATGCCACCTTGTTTGTATGGTTGAAGAATGTCTTCTTCGGTCACTGGTTGATCATTCAGACTATCTGTTTTTGCTATAAAGGCTGGTTTAAGTCTATCGACCGATATTGTTTTTTCTTGCCCGTCAACCAGAATAACGAAGTTTCTGTCATCAATTCTTTTTTTAACTAAGTGAGGACCTGAGTATGGTGGAGTTAATGGTGGCTTTACTTCGTCCACTCGTAGAAAAACGTGGGAGCAATCGTAAATATTTTTTAAAAGAAATAATTTATTTTTTGCGTGGTGAGCTGTTGGAGTTGGACGGATTGTCCTTATATATTGCCGATATTTTTCAATAAATTTTTCTGGATCTGCGGCTAAATCTTGATTTATAAAAAATTCACCTGGAATTCTGAGCGGTGTGCCGAAAAGCATTTCTGCTGGAGATGCTTTTAAATCTTCTTTGAACACAGTGCGTAGACCCAATAATACCGATGGTAAAATATCTGTCCACGGAATATTCGGATGACACATTAAAGCTGTTTTTAAAGTTCTGTGCCACCTTTCAACCATGCCGTTTGATGCAGGATGGTATGGTGTGCTTCTGATTCTTTTTGCACTGACAGTGTTTAATAAAGCGTTGAATAAGGCACTTTCGAATTGAGAGCCTTGATCTGTAGTGATAGATAGAGGTGTTCCAAACATGCAAATCCAGTTATTAAAAAACGCATCAACGACTGTGGTCGCAGCGATGTCTTTAAGAGGAATAGCCATCGGAAACCTTGAGAATCGATCTATGATCGTTAAGCAATATTTATATCCCTTTACTTCGGGGAGATGAATTAAGTCTAAATGTAT